ATAGGATGCTAGTTTTGCATCACATATACGAACGACCCCGAATACCCCCCTAACTAATTTTAAAATATTGCGAAAAAATACTCCTCAGCCAGGAGTCGAACCTGGAATCTCCGGCTTTCCGGGCCGTCGCCTTCCCTGTTAGGCTACCGAGGCCTATTGATAAAATTAAAATTTCAATTAAAAAACTCACAAAATTGATAAAATTAAAATTTCAATTAAAAAACTCACATGTAAATGTGAGTTCTGTTGCATAGATATATGCACAGTCATATTTTCACGCACAACATCCCGCGATGGCTCTTTATAGACTTTACATTATATTAACTTTAAAAATTGATTACAGAGCCTGAGATTATTCTCAATTATTCACTTCAAAAATATAAATCTTCCATATTTTAGAATTTAATATTGCTACCCCTATTATCCAAAAAGGCTACGTATAAAGAAGATCATAAACTATGTATATCGCAAATTTAAAGAAAATCCTACGAAAATCAATAATTCGGAGAACGTCCTTAAGTTCAAGCAACTGTTTGTAATAGCTGTTTCATGCCAAGAGAAAGCTTGGAGGTAGTGGTTGATCCCACTGTGCGTTCGTCGACCATAATTTCTGTATAAACATCTTTCCTTTTATTAATACGGGTCCCACCAATCTCAATGGGTCAAAAATCTGCGATATTTTTGACAATACAGTTCTCTTTGTAACCGCTTCTTGCTTGAGTAGATCAGCTTTGTACTGTAGAGTATTTAATGACGAATTTTAAAAAAGTTCTAACGTCTTAGCTGTGTCTTTATTAATAGTAAGTAGATCATCTGCCTCCAGATCCGACAGCAATTGTAAAATTGGTGGTTCATTTGAGCGCCATTTTCTGAGCAAGAATTGCCCTTTCTTCAGGAGTTCGAATAACTGTCTTTGTTATTTCACAACGTTTTAACGCGTTCGCCCTCCAGTTAGCACGTCATTCATGTAAAAATTTTCCATTACTACACGGACAGCCATAAGATAATCTTCTTGGTGTTGAGTTGCGAATTCCTGTAGACAACGCATTGCGTGATATGATGCACTTGTTGAGCCATACGTCACCGTGTTTAACTGATAGAGCCTTATCGCTTCTTCTGGACATTTTCTCCACAAAATTAGCTGTAGTAATCTGTTCCGTTTGTCGATTAATATTTGTCTAAACATTTGCGCAATGTCTGCTGTAACTACATACTAAAGAGTCCTGAACCGTACTAATATCTTGAAAAGATCCTTTTGCAAGTTTGGTCCTGGCCAAAGTTTGTCGTTGAGCGATCATCCTGTGGATGTCTTTGCTGACGCATCAAAAACCACCCTCAATTTTGTGGTCAAACTGTCCGGCCGTATAACTGCTTGATGCGAAATAAAGTAGAATTCTTGAGCTTGCAACAATTTCTTCTCAGAAATTTGCGTCATATGACCGCGGTCTACATACTCTTCTATGAAGTTACAGTACGCTTCCCTTAATTCTGGATTGCGTTGAAATCTTTGCTCAAGTGCTTCAAGTCTTCTTACCGTCTGTTTTTTAGATTCTCCCAATTTGACGTTTGGACGCGTTGGCAGCCTTACTACGAACCGGCCGTCCTCCTCTTGATGCATAGTCTCTGCAAAGTATCTCTCGCAGGCCTTCTTCTCTGCAGTAGAATGCTTAATTTGTGAAAGATTTTCTACCCTCCAGAATTGCTCGAGTTGCTGTTGTAATTGATCGTTTGTTATTGCAAGACATGTGGAAGCTTGATTCCTCGAATTGCATCTTGCGCTGCACAGTTCTCCCCCGATGATCCAACCTAACCTAGTATTTTGCAAGGCCGGTTGTCCTTCGATTTTATTTCTCGGTGATCCAACGAGTATTTTCCAATAAGGACCTGCCCCGATGAGTATATCGATTTTTCCAGGTTTTTTGTAAGCCGGGTCTGCCAACTGCATGTTCTTCTGTATGAGTATTTTGTTTGCTTCAACTTCCCTTTGTGTAATTAGCACCGTGATTGTAGGCAAAACGTGACACTCCAGTGTCATCGTGAATTCGCGTGAATAGCCTCAATTTTGACCTGCGCTACTTATTTGCGTCCATCTGCACTTGATTAATGCCGCTGATTGGCGTGCTTCCTTCTGTCCATGATATCCTTAATTTTTGTAACAGACCATGCGTTATTAAATTAGATTGTGATCCTAGATCCAATAAGGCGCGACAGTTCACTCTCTGTCTATCGACGTTTCGAACATAAACCTGCACTGTGGACAAAAGAACTTGCGAGTTAACCTTGCCTGCGTCTAACGCGCTTACCTCGTTTGGTGAATGCCTGCAACACGCAACGACCACAGGTGCTGTACTCTCATCACGCTTTGTTTCCTTTGATTCGTTTTGATGCAAGACCGTGTTGTGTCTACCTGAGCACTTCTTACATGTTGAAGCTTTGCACTCTTTAGCTAGATGTCCTGTGTTGAGACAATTGATACAGAGCCTTTTGCTAATAATGCACTTTTTGCGATCATCTGGAGACAATTTGATCAAATCTTCATATCGAAAAGTTTGATGTTCGCCTTGACAGATCTTGCACTGATATGATGTCGATGTCAATACGACTTTCTTGCTATTCTTTCCTGGCACCGTCGACTATTTGGTTTTCGATGTTTTGTTTTGATTGATCATTCTCAATGTATGACAACGCTCCGTGATAAACTTAACAAAGTCTGCTAACTTTGGCATATTTCGTGGCGTACAATCCTTGACAGTGCTTTGCCATTCTCGTTGTTCCGTGTAATCTAACTTTTTTTTTGCTAAGTGAAGAATAATCGTATCCCAGTCCTCTACTGATTGTTGTAAGAATCTTAAGGCTGACATGTGTGTTTCAATGTGCCAGATTAATTGTCTCATTGATTCGGCCTTGTCAGCCTTTGTGATGACGGGAAAGTTAAAGAGTTCGTCCAAATGTGTGTCGATTATCATCATTTCATTCGTATGTGCTTTTTAGAAGCTGCCATGCTTGCTCATAATTTTTATTGCTAAATCCTTCCATTACCTTGCGTGCTTCTCCGGTCAATACTCCGACGAGATACTGATATTTTTGAGGTCCTGACAATTCTTCATCATTGTGTACTGTTGTTTCAAAACTGTTTTTGAAAAAGAGCCATTTTATGTATTCTCCATTGAATTCCGGGAGTTCAATTTCCGGAAGTTTCGGCTTGTTTCTTCGTTCTATGACATTGACTTGTCTGTTTTCAACTAAATTGTTTGGTTGTTGCTGTACGACAACTTGTGGTTGTCTTGCTGTATCAATTATGCGTTGTACTTGTGCGGCCACGGTGTAGTATCTTTCTTCGAACACCATGCGTTCGCCTTTGTTATCTCTTTAAACTGATCTGCTTGTGTTTCTCTTCTTTGATCACTATACTTTCTAATGCCTGTTGTACCTCCTCAAATAAAGTCCACAGATCTTCTATTTTCTTTAACCTGACTTGCGCTTCGGCCGCTGAACAATTTTGATTGGCCACAAGAAACTTTGTATCCTCGTTATCTGCCCTTTTACGCGGGCTCTTCTTTGCTTTAGTTGTGTAGTAACTCTGCCATTGCGCATGTACAGTTACGAAAAGATTATGTGTGCTTTTGAGTGCTTAAAGGAGGTAACGAGAATAAAGAATACCTTATTTGAAGAGAGCGACTTGTTGATCTGAAACTCATCAATGCTCTACTTTGGTAGGTGACTCGAGCATTTAAGAGAGTGTTTGTGTTTATGTGTTGTAAGTGTCTTCGATTCTTTTTCTTCTCTGGACGAGATTCGAACACGTTGGGCGCCAAAATGTTTTTGTTGCGACAATTGTGTGTGAAAAAGTACACGTGTTGTTTTGATTTCCTCAGAAGCGAGTCCGCTGCTTTATTTTCGTGTAACTAACCTCAGAGGAAGCAAAACGAACTAACAACTAAGAACTAAAAACTAAAAACTAAACTGGGCTGTCGGCCCTTATCCTGCAACTTGACTGTTGCGCCTGCGTAATGCGCGCTTGCCGCCCACGGCCTCTCTCGCGTCTTTCCTCACAAGGCAACGCGCGCAGTTTCAATTTATTAAAACACATAATAAAAGGTAACAGCCGTAGACATAAAAATTAATGAAAAACATTTCTCTCTAATGTCAGCTAACAATTTTTACTCTGCATTAATCTTAAAAAATAGAAAAGTCATTTGAGATTATATGCTGCAGATAATACTGCTGGTCTTTCCACGTCTAATATGTGCAATAATAATGTTTAAATTACCAATTTTTCTAGCATTTTATATGTAAGAAATTCACATTTTTAAGTAATAAATATGTATATATTTAAATATGTATATACTAAAAAATATGTACCATTATTACTTATAATACCATAATACTCTTAGTTTGTCTAGCATTGTAGCATATCATACATCTTCATCTATAAATACTAAATGTGTTTACGCCTTAGTTCGTATGGCATTCTATGTCAAAGTCATATATTTTAATAATAAATGTGTTTCAATCTTAAAGTATCTGACATTCTATATATCCGACATTCATATTTAAAAACCTAACAGATGCGAAATAAAACGTGGTAGAATATGGCTACAGGCGAAAGTCTACGTTAAAATACCTAACGCGCTATTAGCGGCAACTCGTGGGTATAGTGCGGAAGACCACTACCTTCTTCATAATATTACCTATCATCATTGCATAAAACTTGTATTGTATAATTGTTGCAAAATTATTTAATATTGTAACATGAAAGATCTCTGTAGCAAAGTTTATTTAATAGTTTAGGTTCATATTCTATAGGAAAATGCATGACATTTCATATATTTCAAAAAATTACATTGTCATCAATTGATTCCACAAATTGCGATGTCAACATGGAAATCTCGATGTACATATGAAACGAGCGAGAAACATAGAACGTCGCGCGTCCACGTGTACAGTCAACATATCAAAGCTTTTATTTTTGCTGCCGATCGACGTTATGATCTAATATAAGAATACCTATATATTGGATAATTTGTAAAGAAGGAAATTCAAAGCCTATATTAAATATCATTGAACATTACACTTCAATGTTTTAATTTAACTTATGTCTAAACAAAGTCACTCTTTACACACAAGTTTTATTTAAAAAACGTACAATATTATTTTTTAATATTTTTTTTCGAGATTTACAGTCTTGGAAAAAGTTCGTAATATGATAGTAAAACATTTCAAGATGCATTATATTTTTTTAGGAATTATTACATATGAGTTAAGTGAAAGAATTCAAAAGTTTTTTGAATATTGACAGTTATTAGAGTTCATTTTTTATATATATTTTTGTTGTGTAAATTATGACAAGAATCTACATTTTTCAGACATATAACCTTAAAATATTTAATTCATTTTATACGAAATTCAATTACTTACTACATTATATTCATATGATATGAATTAGATACTTTAGAATTATGCATCTGTAAAATGTAGATTCTTTTCGCGATTTACAAATTAAAAATATAGAACAATTATTAATAGTAATAGTATAGTTTATTTATATATACAGGGTGTTTCAGAACTATGGGATCAAACTTCTAGGGGTTATTCAGTGCAACAGTAGAAAACATTTGAGTATAGGGACCCATGTCCGGAAAAGTGAAATAAAAAAAAAAATTTTAAGTCTTAAATTTTTAGTCAAGTCCGCCGAAATCACGTGCGACGTTTAAATCGGTGTATTCAGGTTGGAGGAAGACATTTTGAACAATTGTTGTGATGATATCATGTACAAAAGGCAAACATTAAATGCATTANTTCTAAATTTTAACGCGTCTTAGGGCCGTAGTGCGGTAGTGACACTTTTCCGGACATGGGTCCCTATACTCAAATGTTTTCTACTGTTGCACTGAATAACCCCTAGAAGTTTGATCCCATAGTTCTGAAACACCCTGTATATATTTATATAAACTTTAGATAAACTTTAATCACCAAAATTACGAGGATGACGATTTACTTTGACACAGGCACTCCTAAGAACAAAACATTAATCGGTACTTGTTTATACATTTATTTTTGTATGTAGCAATTTCTATATTTTTTCGTATATAATTATATATATTATAGTGAAAATTATCTGTATATAAAATATGTATATAATATTATTATATATGTATATTATTATATATGTATGTAATGTATCATATGTATATAATTATTTTTATATATTATCAAATTTCACAGCGATATTATTTTTATATGAATAAACTCTATTAACTAATAAACATAAGCTTATTCAACTTTTTGCATATATCTATTTGTTATAATATATTTATTTGTTATATCTTTTTCTTCTTATTTATTCACAGTTGGCCTATTACTCAATCAATCGCTCGTGAAATAGTCAAAAATATTTAAACTAAAGGCCGATACGAGCATTAAAATACAGGTTGGTCGTGTATAATAAGTTGTCTTTATTCAATAAATATAGACGTTTCGGTCACACAATTTTTGACCTTCTTCAGTATNAAAATTAAGTCTAACAAGAGAAAATAAAAAAAATTACAATCAATAAAAAAAGCGCAAATCAAATATCACAGAAAAATAAAACATAATATATAAAACTCACTTAATTAAAAAAGAAAAAATATTTTAGTACACTACGTCACCAACAAATAGATGAAATAATGTTGATGACTTACAACGATATACTNTGTACTGGCAAGAAAACATAAACAAGCCAAATATATATAGGCATCCCCACTATTAAATCAAAATATCAAAAGGTTCGCAATAAGTCGAAAAACATGTTTACAAAATATGTACAAAAATAATACAAAAAATCTATTATTAGAAAGGACAACTTATTAGAGGTGATAAAAGATTTTGAAAATAATTTAAGGTTCTATAATAATAATAAAAAAATCGAAGAATCGTTGAGATCGCACGTTATCCCAATTTTAACCAACTATTTATGTACATCACAGCGATTGAGCGAGATTGATAAAGAATTGCTATTTCGACATAAACAGGTTTCGATTTTCATAAAAAATC